GAATGCAAGAGGAAAATGTACTCAGAAAACATGAGAAAGCGCACTAGTTTGCAAGTTTCGCAGAACGTTTCCTACTGAGGTGGTATCCGTCTTCGTGTAATAAAGCAGAACAAACGCCTCAGTGTCGGAACGTCGTCCTTCTTCCGCCGGCTGCGTTTCTCAGGAACAATGTTACGTCCTCCAGATATTAAAGCATCATTCTGCGATACAATGTGGGATGAAGTCCAATAACCAAATAGCTAAACCATTATTACGTGACGCACGGTTAAGATAGTGTACAGTCGTCTATCAGTTCTCTTCTGATTAAGTGTTCTTAGCGGTTATATTCGGACAGACTGATGCGTTTCAAAATGGCATCTTGGAGTTGCGAGGATGGGTTTACTAGATCACGTGTCCTTAGAAACTCTCTTATATCTGTCGTCATTTTATTGGAATTGTCGTCAAAATGTGATAGTACGTCTGTTGTAATTTTCTGACAATGAATTCAGCCTGTACTTGTTTCAGCCAGACGCACAAGGCATGATGACGAACCGGTGGAAAAGGCATGGAAACATTGGTAACATAGGTTAAAACAATGACCCTGCTGATGTTTAGGAGAGATTTGGCAATTGACAATGCAAATATATAATCTTTTGTGTAGATTTCAACGAAGATATTAGAGTGTTAAAATGCGATGGAATATGGAATACAGGGAATTCCTGCCATAAGGTGTGTCAGAGCTTGTCTGATCTCCTCCTGTCTGATGCGACCATTCACAAATGTGTATGTAGAATCACAAAGTGTTGTGTTCTGTATAGTGTGCTATCATTTCTTACTCACCAGGTTGCTTGTTCTGGGCAGTTGTACATCTAAACCAAATCATCAACATGTCGCAAATACTACCTAGGTCCCTGTTCTTCACTTTGATGGTTAGACCGCGAATGTGGAAATAATCTTCCGTTTAACTCAGGTTTTCCAACACCTCAGGTAGAAAAGGGAGCTAAATAAAGTTTGCTGAGAAAATATGTTCCAGAAACCGACCAGTTTTTTAATCCTTCGTTTATTTGCTATACTCACACATACTTTGTGTCTGTCGATAATAAGCAATCCCACACACTTTTGTTGCCCTGTCAATCCATGTAGCTTTGTAGTATCTTGAATTGTCATTTAAACTTTATTTATTACAATTATTGTCTTATCATGCAGCCAAATCAATGAGGCGTGAACAACTACTGGGTACGTTTTCCCTAGAGCTTGGTTATGGTTATCAAAACAAGTTGTTAATTTTTGTTGAGGCATAAACATAAAACAAAATTCTACTAATTAACATGTATTTAAGATAAAAAAGCGAAATTACTGATGCACAGTTAATAACGTGGATGTTTTCATGTAGTAATTTCTTTTTCACAGCTTTTCTCGCAAAGATTGGCTTGCTTTAAGATGTTGAGCAAAAGTGAACGAACAGCACGGTGTAAGTTATTGTTGGGAAATATCCTTGCTTATAACAAGCAGTGCTACGTTGGAGGTACAAGATTTTGGATTTTCATCATTAAGATCTTTCATGAGTTGAGTCATCACATTCAACACACCATCTTGCATGTCACTTGTCACGATTTGAAAATGTCTTGTGGTTTTCGACGGAATGGGTTCACACTTCTCGATGCTCAAAGTTGATTGCTCTTTTATCTATTGAGTTGAAAATATGGATTTGCAGTTAGCTGTAGAAGATGCAACTACATGGAGAGCGGTTAAGTAAGTATTGCGGAATGTAACAGGATATTGGTAATATTTGGTTATCATTTAGTTTCGCTTACCGCTTTGCAAGGGCCACCGGATTTTGTTTCCTTTTGAAGCCTTCGATTTAGGTACACATTGAACGCTGAAATTAAATAATCCCAGTTCACCTTTGATTAAATAGACTTTGCAAGTAGGAAATTATTGAATCCCTAAATTCTGCGAGAGACTGAATCAAGGATGCTGACTGACGTACACGTTATGTAATCATAACACACAAACCGAGACATTACAGGCTGTCTGAGTCCATTGTCAATTTCGCAACAAAATGTTGAGTGACTAAAGTATTCAGTAGTCACTAACCAAATCAGTCAGTTACACAGAAAATATCGTGCTTACCCAATAGTTAAGCGCGTGTTTATTTGCGTATTGTTTTCAACACGGATAAATGTATAAAGTCGGTTTTACGGCGTCTGCATTTTTAATTTGTCCCACTCACGTGCTTATCCAATTTGGTAACTTGCTATGTGAGCAACACTAGTTTGCGAATCGTACAATTTTCGATTAAATTCATTAGGAGTTTGTAAGTACAAAGTAGACTACTTAAAAAAGGAAGTTGGTGAAGCGCGGCACATATTGGTAGAGCCAGATCCATACAATAATTAGACTGTCCTAATGGATACATTTCCCGATATATCCAAGCCACACACTACACTCACGCATGTATGTGGTGTAAATGCTGTTAGAAATAAGTAATAGAGAGGTAAGCAGAGCCAATGTCCAGATACGAGGTCGCTCACAGGATTACCGCAGAGCAAATGAGCTGTCTGCTGCATGCGAAGAGCACCAGCACGAGCGTGGAACAACCTTCGACTGTTTTGCCAAATTTGGGAATCGGATGCAAACTGAATGGCCAGCAAATACAAGGCTGAGTCAACGGAGGCGAACCATTCTGCCAAATCTGGAAAATCGGTGCGATGGAATTAACTCACATTTGCTGAGAGCCAAGCGCTTCCAAATTTAGTAGGTTTCGTTCACCAATAAATGGTACCGACCTATCGTGTAGAGTAGACTCCCTGTAACCGAGCCTTGTCCTTCTGTATCCCGTCGTTTGGTAGGGTGGGTGATTGAGCATCAGTCGGTCGTATTCCCGCAGGCGTAGAATAGCAGCAGTGTAGCAGTACGAAGGCAGCTTTAGAACAATAACATTAGGTCCAACTTAAATTAAGGGCTGGAACAAACGCCCTCTGTTTGCAAATTTCAGTTTAGGTCAGTCCGATCACAATGGCTTTCTCTGTCTGTAGGACTAGTTTCTAAGGCCTTTCAGGGTGCCCTTTTGCTAATAAACATGTCGTAACTGGCATGGCAGTGGAAGATGAGCCGGGCTATATCATAGTCAACTTCAATCACGCAGATACTTATCTGTTATCCATGGTGAAGTGGCACTAGCTGCTGGCATCCTGAAGACATGGTGGCGGACCCCAGTAGAGGTCCGCTGGGGGCAGCACCACTGATGAGACCCAGAAGGTCGAAACGCCGGCGTCTGGTGCTTTTCCAGACTAGCTTAAGCATGCTGATTAGGAATGATGATGATAAATTAGATGAATAATGCATAGCACATTCTGATTACACCAAAATTCTTAATTTGGTGTACAAATTCTACCGGGTGTACATGTATATTTATCTTGATGCAACTGTGCATACCCATGCACAGTGACTTTGGATAGTACCAAGCTATCCGTTTTGACAAAAGTTAAGTGGTATGTCTGATACATCACACCAGCTTTGCAACTTTATTGATGTATAATGTAGGACTCAGGCTGAGCCAAGGGTTGATTCTCGAAAATGTTGGAAATGGAAAACGGGAGTTCGGCATAAACATTTGGATAGGGAGATTTGAGAGTTCGAGCAACTGTAGTGGAATATCTTTTAAACTGCTCCAGACCAACTAATCGTATATATGCTGGGGACGTAAGTACAGCAGCTATCTTCCGCCAAACGTGATCTGGGCGTGCTTGATTAGAGTGACGTGGATTCCTCAAGGCAGTCCAAAACGGCAACGATAGCTGATAACCGACACTTCAGGAGATTGCCACGGGCGTTCGGAGAAATAAATAGAAGAGACAAGATACACAAAGAGACAAAAGAGACAAGATAGAAGAGACAAATAGATAGATATTTCCAAAGCAACTAATAAAGGTGTTCAATGCCTAGCACAACCCACATGTTCAATACACGATAAAAGCCTGGCACCAAATGCCGGAAAATGGTCTTTATGAACTGGAAAGTTCTCAACGTGGACAAATGAAAACGTTATTGGAATTCGCCACCTCCAATACTAGCAGAGGCTGTAACGATTGGGGATATTCAGCGGAGACCACAGATTACGAGGCGATCTGATAATAGCGTACTTGATTTTGCACAATCCAATGATGTGTGCCAATCTATCTATTTACGTATTTCACACGTGGGACGCGCACTCGAATCGGTCGTTTCTGCACCGACATTAGTAATATTTCAATGACGGTTGAATGACGTAATCATCTACTTACACTTTGTTACTTAACATTATGTATCCTGGGACCTTGATTACATTTACTTGCCGTTAGCTGTGGTTGCTCTGAAAACATCCGGACCTTTGGACTACAGCATAAAATAGGATAAATTCCGTTTTTCATAGAAAGAGTACCAACCAATATATTGTTATTTTCCGATACCCCTAACAAACAACCCAACTGGACTTGTGAATAAGGGCTTCTGAACACCAATACATTGAATTTTCCTGGTAAGCGTTCAAGGCAAACTCTTCCTTAAAGGGAGTTGAGAAAAAATATAAATAGTCGGAACAGTCGTAACCACTATTCGGCGATCATGAATCACTGCACGCCATTGGATGAACGAAGCTGAGTGATAAATTTATTGCAGCCATTTGAGCGTACGTCTCTTTTTAACCCCCAATGCCTGGGTTGAAAGGTTTTGATGCTTACAATGAACAATGATTTTATAGGGATGAAGAAGCTTCGCTACTTTAGCCTTTTTGGGTAGTCTGATGGATTAACAAATAACGCTAATGAGAAAAGTGCAGTTAGTAGTTCCACTTTCAAAGATGAACTTATCAAACACAATGTACTAGCCATGCACTCCAAGTGTTTCCATAGCTTCAATAGGCGAAAAAATAAATCCAAGGCAGTTTATGAGTGTAGGACGGTGAACAGTGTCGTAATAAAAATCAAGTGGCAAACTACGTCATCAAACCACTGATCAAAACGGCTAATGGGGCTACAGAAACAATCGATTCGAGGAGAGCGTTCCAAGGTTAACACACGCAAATGCAAGAGCAATTTCTACGGCACTTCTGACGGTTTTATTCTTCCGATAATTTCAAGGGTTGGGCTCTAATCTGGGTGTTACTATTGAGTTGCAGTAATGAGCGACACACATGATTTCGATGGTGTAAAATCAATTGTCATTATAAAGTCCCCTCGTATTCGTCGATAACCCACGCTAGATACTACCAAACTTTTCAGCCTCTGTTCGTATGGAGCTTGTCGCCTTCCATTGACGTATTTAGAAGCTCGATTCTGAGGTTTTTCCGGTGCAGTAGGTTGTGCTTCAGCAAGGGCTGCCAGGCTTGGATGGCGTATTCGACATGGAGGCGAACATATACCTTCAGAATCTGCCTGAAATTAATGGTGTTTAGTTGACCGAAAGCACATCGTAACAGGCCGACTTGTTGGTTACCAGTTTTCTACTCTTTTGCGGATTGCTTGACACAGCCCAAGTAATGCTGACCAATCAGATCATGGTCGCCTTCGACGGACGATTTATGCAGTACTTGCGTTCTTAGCCTGCAAACTTGGGTACTCTGGGTCCGTGTGGAGAGTACTTACGTTTGTCCACGTTGAATTGTAGCAGATTGTGGGTTGACCATTCAACTGCCATGTCTAAGTGAGTTCAGATTAGTATCCGCCTGAAATTCGCGCCGTATCTTGATATCACCAGCAAACAGCGGGACATTTGAAGCGATTTTGTGTACAAGATCCTTGGTGAATAGCAACAACTATCGTGGGGGTAGAACTGAGCCCCGGGACACACCAGACTAGACTTGTATGGGGTCAGATATGGAATTGTTGAGCTTAACCACTCCTTTTCGTTGTTTAAGAAAGTAGGGATTTTAGCTCAAGAAATAGTAACTGATCCCGTAATATTGCATCTGAGGGGTCTGTAACCAGTTGCTGAATTTGATGATTAATTCAAGACAAGCGAAATTCCGGCAGCCTACTGAGAGGAAAGATCAGGTTGTGGCACTGACGAGCTGGGCTGAACGGTCGTAGCGCGTAATGGTGCGCACTATCTCAGTTTTCTGTTGACGATAATCCGCATAGCTGATGAAGTGGAAACTGATGACTGCATGATCACTGCGACCCAAAGGGCACTCTAAAATCAATACATGAAATATATATTCCTCGTTGAGGAACGCAAGATCCTGGTATGTTGGTCTATTGCCTGTTCCGAAAGGAGCGGGCAAAATGACGTGGTTGTAACTTGGAACACTGGCACTGAGCTCGTGTAGATCTGCTTTGAATCGCTCTCTGATTGTAGCAGGAGTTTATAAACATGTACTTTGAAATCCCCCGTGATAAGGATGTGAGTGTGCTTTCGCCTTAAACTGCATCTTAATGCTGTCGCAAGGTGGCATTCGCTTTCCGTTGTAGAGTTTGCGGGCTGGTTCACCAATGCTATAAAGTAGGTGTCTCTGCCATGTGCTTGCAGGCGGCACCGAAGTGAATCAACGGACTCTAAGTCTGAATCCTCAATGGCCTCGCAATGTAGATCGCTTCAGTAAAAATGCATTAGCCCTTCCCCTTTCTTAAGCCTGTCTTTTCCTATGCGTTACATGCATCGCAGCGAGACTTCAGCGTCTCTCATTTCCGAGTGCAACCATGCCTGCGTGACATCGATGATATCGCATGGCTTCGCAATTTGGCTATCTTTTAGTTCGGTCAGCTTATTCCAAAGGGCTTGAGCATGGGTATAAAAGCAGGATAGATTCTCTGGCTTTTGGAGCAGAGACTAAGCTGAAGAATGCAAGTGTGGTAGAATGCCGACCGATGTGAGGACTGCCGTTATTCGATTTTTTGATCGGATGACAGCGATGACACATCTATCGCAACCGATTTGGCCAGTGTAAGTCCCATTCCTCCTCCGGGCATACTGCAGAATCGCTTAACCGAGCAGAAAAATAATGATAATGCGTACTCACTGGTAGCTTCGCTTTTTCAACTAGGAGCATTTCTGGTCTTCAAAACGTTTCAATGGCATTTGACTAACGTTCAGAATGAAGGCTTTTCTGACGTCGCCGCCGCCGTTCTAATACTTCCGTTGATGTATGCTCTGACCGAACCACAAATTTTAGCATTATTAGGCTGCGTCATCTGCAACATATTGACAGCGGTAGCCTTATGTTTTTGCGCCACTTCGTTGTCCAACTAGAGAGTTTCACGAATTAACCCCACTGTTCTAAATCGCAATTACCGGCCTCGGGACTTGTGTGGGAAGGACGTTCTGACACGCCATAAATAAAGACTGTGCTTAGACAATCCAGCTTATTGTATCCATCGGAGATGTTTCTTTTCGACTGACGCGTGTTCGAGAACGTCAGCATAGATGCGTGCCTAAGATGATCCGCGTTTTAGTGCACTTGCAGAGGGAAAAATGATTCT